AAAGAAAGAAAGAAAGAAAGAAAGAAAGAAAGAAAGAAAGGAGAAGGAAAGGAAAGGAAGGAAGGAAGACAGACAGACAATCCTTGAAAGTGTAAAGATCTCACTTTATCACCCTCTCAGGCACCTGTTATCATTTCTCTGGTTGTACGTTATCACATATGCTGGCAGAGGTTCAGGAAAGTGAGAGTGTCATGCCATAACCTTTCTTGACACTAGGGCAGTACTATCCAAGAGACAGAACACAAGCCACAAGCATGAGCCCATCACTGCAAAAGCACAGAAAAATGAAAAAATAAACATGTGAAGCTCATTTTAGTAATAAATTTTAGTTAACCCAATATATTCAAAATACTATCGCTGTGTAATAAATATGAAAATTATTAACAGTGTACATTCCTTTTTCACACCAAATCCTCAGGCATCATGTGTATTTCATACTTAGCACATGGAAATTATAACTAGCCACATGTCAAAGACTTGAGAGCCAGTGTGGCTGCTCATTCCACTACTGGACAGCCATTCTAGAGGTCAGGAGGTACTGAGGATGGTCATACAGCGAAACAGATCATCAGCTCCATCCCAGCAGGCTGCTAGCTGGGACACCTGGCACTGTCTTAAGTGAGAGAGACATTTCATCTTAAATATTTTTATTTATTATTTTTATTTTATATGTATGTGTGTATTGCCTGGGTGTCGGTAAGTGCACCCGGGTTGGGCAGAAGAGGCTTTCGGATCCCCTGGAACTGCAGTTACAGACAGTTGTTAGCTGCCATGTGGGTGCTGGGATTCAAACCCGGGTCTTCTGCAAGAACAACGAGTGTTCTTAACCGCTGAGCCAACTCTCCAGCCCACCATTTCATTTTAAAGAAGGGTTTTAAATAACGTTTAGTTTGCTGGCGCGCTTGGTGTGTTTTGCTGTTCTCCCTGACAAATGGGGCACCAAGGCCCATGTATTTGCTCTTTTCACTATTGCTTTACATGAAGAGTCCAGGAAATTCTGGTCACTAAACAAACTACCTCCCAAGAAAGTGTATTCTGTGCCTTTCCCCAAAGAAACCAGGCATACCCGATTGACACTTCCACATCCCCATCCAGTATTCTATGTAAGGAACAGGTGTGAAAAATGAGTTGATGGGTTTCCATTGTGTCACAGCCATGGGTGGGGACAGTTTGACAGAGACCTGAGCTTACCAGCGTTACCTACCTCTCAAGTCTACTGGGATGGGCAAGGGCAGAAAGAGAGAAAGCTTAGCAAAGTGTGAAACGCTCGACAACTCTAGTTAACCCCAGACAGGAGGAGGGGAAAAGTAACCTGAAACAGACGTTGAATTGGGCGGGAGAGACCCCTGAGAATCCACTAGTTGATGCCAGTGGACTTTGTTCTCTTGGGAGTGCACAAAGAGTTGAGCACAACTGTCCCTAGCAATCTAGGGAGGCAGCTAGGCAAGCTCCAAGCGCTGCTGCACCGCCCATCACCCTCCTCTCAAACGCAGTACAGCGCCGGATCCCGGTTCCCAACACACTGCTCCCTCCTCCCAGAGCTTAAGTGTAGCCTGGCTGCAAATGCTGCGCCCACGGGGATCCTGGCACCTCCCCGAGCTAAAGTCCCTGACTCTGCGGGGGTCCTAGCGCTGAGTTTCTCACCGGCACGAAAGCCACAGCACTGGCTCCAGCGCTGCCATCTACACAGACAGACAGACAGACAGACAGACAGACAGACAGACAGACAGACAGACGGGGCTGGCAGCCGGAGTCTCCCTCTACCTGCCCAACCGCCCCGTCACGCCCGCGGACTGCTCCCGGCAGGCAGCTTTACGAGGTCCACCGCAGACACCCACACAAAGACGCCTTGTGCCTCTGCGTCCCGCGGCAGGCAGGCAGGCGGGCAGGTCGCAGGCACCGTAGCAGGACAGAGTGTCTCGGCGCCAAATCCTTCATCCCGCATCCCCAGCCCTCATCCTGCTTCCTGGCTTAAAGATGGGGGGGGCCTCTCGGCCGGACACAGCCCACATCCCTACCACCCCGGGAAAAGCACCCGAGACAAGGGCGCACAGGCCACTCTGCAGAAGTTTGCATGGTCGCCGCGCCGTGCTCTCCCTGCGTCCCGCCAGCAGGAGGACCCGAGCACCCCAGGCTCCAACTCCTGGCCCCCATCTCCCCGGCTGCAGGACGCGGGGGTCCCCCCAGGCCTGCTCACCTCTAGTCCAGTCCACCACTTGTTTGGGGCTCCACTTGGTCACGGGTTCCATCGTCGGTGCTTCGCCCGGCGCTGGGCGGTGGGGTGTGCGGTGAAGTGCTGCAGCCCCGGGCTGGTCCCCTGCGCGCCCCGGCGCTCAAGCTCGCATGGCGACGCTCAGCGGGTCATCCCGGGAGCGCGGCTCTTGCCCGGCCCTCGGGACAGCTGTGCAGCGGCTCCGGGTCCAGCTGCAGCTCCCTCCTTCCCCGTACAGCGGCTGCTCCGCGGCCACCGCAGCTTCGTGCGCTCAGAGCTGCGACCTCAGACCCCCAGCCTCGGCGGGCCACACGCGGGGCAAACCCGGCCGGGGTCCACCCGCTCGGCTGGCCCTTGTCTCCTCCTCCAAGGAGCCCGTGTGCTCTCACGGTCCCCGATCCGCGTGCGCCGGCGCCCCGAGCCCTTCCCGCCCGCCCGCGTTCCACCTCCAGCGCCACCGGCTGGGCTCCGGCCGCCCTGCTGGGGAGGAGAGCGGAGCGTGCGCGCTCGAGTTGCAAAGTTTCAGCTCCGGTCCCAGAGCCCAGAATAAAAGAGGGGGCGGGGCACAGCGGGAGCAACTTGTGGGCGGGGCGCGACGGGGCGGGCTCGGGTTGCTTTCCCTCCTCCAGCCCAGCGAGGCTTCTCCGGAGTCCGGGGCCCTACTTTCCTTTTCAGGGGGCGGGCTGTGGCTGTGCGCGCGTCCCGAGAGCCGCTGGGCTCTTGGGAGGCCTCGGTCCTATCGCGAGCAGAACAGTCTGGTCTCCCAGTGAACCATTTTTAAAAACTGAGTAAAGTAGGCGCTGCTTGGTTTCAAAACTTCGTGTTGTGTCCAGCCGTCCTCATTTTAAGATGCTTAAAGTACGATTCTATTTGTTTCAGGTGGGAGGATGGAGATGCGACTCGGACCTCGTAAGTCTGCTGCACTAGTTGGACTTCAATTTAATCTGCGCAGAACGGGAGTTCTTCGAGTGATGTTTTGCCATATTGTAATATTCATATTTTGAAAGTGACCTAATGCTCGATTCGGATTAGTCATTAACCCTGAGGGGAAACTTGTCAGTCAGCCAAAATGAAAAAAAAAAAAAAAATCAAGCGCACAGTTTCAGTCACTGACAAGGAAAGGGCCCTTCCATGTACTCAAGCCTCAGTTTGGAGCTACAGTCCTGAACTGAGGAAAATCCTACAATCCAGTGCTCACCTCGCCTGTCAGCCCTCCCAGCCCTACCTCCCACACTGGCTTAGAACTTCTTCTAGCCCTTAGTGAGTCTTGCTTTTAATTATACCGATTTCTGGCTTCCCCTTGACGACTATTAACCCATTCTGGGTCTTTGCTCTTTGATATTATGTAGATAGGGGTGTCTCTTCTCTCTCATTTCCTAACGTGCTCGTGGCGTAAGGGAGTGGTTGGTATCGGTGCATACTTCGTGCCAGACCCTGCATTCAGTCAATTGTTGTTGGATTAGGATAGGAAGTATTCAGTGCACGTGGGAACCACATCTGTCGCCTAGGTATCTGTGGAACAGTGCGATGGTGTACAGTATGGGAAATGTCTGAAACTTCCTATGCAGTTTATACAACAGACTCACGCAGCTATCTTTTTTTAACTAAAAGTAATTGACCAACCCAGAAACTTGGCAAAGGCAGTGAGCAAATTCCTGGTAGAGTAGCTGTCCCCTTTTCAAAAGGACCTTTGCAACACAACCATTATTAACCATCTTTATAGCGGTCAGAAAGGACCTTGACCTGTGTTCACCCGGAAGGGTAACCAATCTAATCCACACCTCTAGTTTCAACAATCACTCTATGGTGTGTCACCAGGGACTATGATTAGGGTGACCATGTCATTTATCTCCAAGCTAGTGCTGTAAACGAAAGGGTGTGTTATCTAGAGCTAGGTTGGAATAATATCAACCAGGTCATAGAACCCTTGGAATGATTTTGCTGATTCTACTTGATGTTTTTACAATGTTTTCAAATTTGTTTACATTGATCTTTCTTTGGAAAGTTAAAAGTTAAAATTCCAGAGTACAGCAAGAGTTTGCAGAATTGCATCTCACCAAGTCAACACAATCTCCATACTTGGTACATAACACTGCAATCCTAAAGAAGAAAGCTATGCTAAAATCTCCAACCAGGAAGACCAATTAACTATCTAAATGAATTAGTGATTTGTTTACCCCTTACATCCAGCAGCCTAATTACTATTTAAATCAGGACTTCTACCTTAATTACAGCTGTTAACATTGGAAAGTTTTAGGGAATTCCGGCTTCCTGCTGAAAGGCAAATGCAGGTAGAGTTTTAGGTAACCAGCTCTGGAAATTAATGAGTACACAAAATGGTCTTTCATGAGTTTTCCAGCTTTTCTTTACTGTTTGTTGGGATCTGCTGCAACCATGTTGCTTTGTACGTGCACACATCTTAACAGGACTGCGTTTCTCCTTCCTGCCTCCATACATTCTTCCCACGCGGCCAGGAACTGAACACTGTTTCCCTGAATTCAGCGTGTTAAAGAATTGATAGTAGAAGCCACTCATCTAATTTTCTTTTTCTATTCCTTCTATTCTCTTTGAGCCTCCTTGCACATTTAGGTCAACTATTCAATCAACAAAGTATGCTGTGTGTACTTGTAATATACTAAACTGAGCATGAGGAAGATTAAAAAACACACAGTTAGTGGCTTTTATACATCAAAGGCATCATGGGACTTTCCTAAGGAGGGTTTTCTTCAGTAGTCTTTAATCAGAAGAAGACATGGCCCAGAGAAACCCAGATGAGGGAGTTTGGAGATCAATGTCATATTAACACAAGTCCCTCAAAAATGCATTGTTATCCTTATTTGAGAAGTGGGGATGGAGCACTTTGGAGATGTGGCTATTGCTCTGTCTACTGGGTAGACACAGGAGGAACAGAAGATACAGAGTCATTCCCCAATTCAAAATGGAAAGAAAAGGGAACAGCTTCAGAGTCAACTGCTCAAAGTGCTCAACTTCTCACACCCTAGGTTCCTTCTCTGGGAAATCATTATTTCTATCATATGCTTTTCTTTTACCTGTTTCCAGACTATCATAAATTATTTAAGGTTTTTTTCCCACATATAAATTGTCTCATGTTACTTGTCTTTTAGTTTGAAAGGTATGAAACAATTGTGCAAATTGCCACCTGGGAAATACCTTCCAGTCAGAGCTAAGGGTTCTTATCTTAACATCACCTCACTGCAAAGTCATCACTTAACTCAATTACCCAGGCTCCTGATGAGCTCTCTTCCACTCAGACTCTACTGGGTCTGGATTCTTCACACCATGGTAATGAAGCTATCTCCCTAAATACACAAGCGTCCCATCAGATAATCCAGGTGGTAAAGTTCTCAAACATTTTTTCTTTGGGATAATGCAGACTTACCTACTTGAATTCTTTTGATCATTCAGGAACCTTAATGAAGTCATCGGTAGAAAATAGGAAAGAGATTTGGCTTTCTCTTACTGGCTCCTCTCCATCTCAAAGACCAGTGTCAGCTGCATGGGGCTTCCAAGGCCTCATTTCTTAGTTCCCATTGTTATCTTTGATTCTTTATTTTGTAGTACTAGGGATTGAACCTAGGGCCTCATACATGCTTTACCATTGAACTATATACCAAAGCTCATCACTTTTTTTATTCTGAGGTCAGGTCTGACAAAGTTGCCCAGTCTAATTTTGAACTCAAATTGTAGCCTACACTAGCCTTGAACTTGGGATCTTCCTGACTCACACTCCAAAATAGGAGCTATTACAGGCATACACCACCAGGTCTGGCTTTTATTGATTGGCTGCCTTTCAGTGCTGAGGATTAAACCCGGGGCCTTACAAATGCCAGAGAGCCACATCCCCAGCCCTCAACTATTTTAAATCACACTTGGAAAATCTGGTTCAACTTCACTATTAAAGAAGCATTGACCTCCTTAAATCTTAATTTCAGTGATTCAGAACCTTTGAAAGGGAATCTTCCTGTAACTCCAGCTGACCTGGAACTCGCTATATAGAACAGGCTGGCCTCCATCTCACAGAGATCTCCCTGCCTCTAGAGCCTCCCGAGGACTGGGATTAAAGGCTCTTGCCAGGCCAAATTGAGTTTTCTTATCCTAGAGTACCGAAGCAGGGAACAGGGAGCTTGTTCATGGCAAGACACAAAGAAAGAACAATCGGTCCTCCCCACCCCCCTCAGCTCAACTCTTTATGCTACGTTTTGTCCCAGCTATCACGTTACAGAGTAGCTAAAAAGAACAGAATGCCATGCCCTCCAGTTGTTCTTATGACTCCATGTCATAATCTCTGCACAAGTAAATATGACACCATGAGTTTCAGACTCAATGATACTTGTTTCAAATACAAGTTCTGTGTTGATAATGACGGACGAAGGCTTGGGGTGAAAAAGCATTAGTCAAGGTCATTCTAAACCTCTAAAAACTTAAATTATTCCAAGTAAATTTTCAGCTTTAGAAATCAAGCACAGAGCTGAATATCATAATTCTCTACAGTATTAACAAGAAAGACATAACAATTGTTTATTGACTGCTTCATATTTTTCTTATTGGAGTTGGCAAGCCAGTAACATTTTTATAATGCACTTCAAATAAAATAGAAATGTACATTCAAATACTCTGAACTATAATGAAACTTTTAATGAACTTTGAGCTCTGTCTAAAAAGTTATTCATTCGTCCATTACTAGCTAAAATGACAAATTTAAGGGAGGACAATTTCCTCTAGTTTCAAGCCCATTGGGGATAAATTCTTCATCCACTTCTAACCAACACAGGCAGATTTTCACTAAAAGCACATTCATCTTTTCCATTTGTGATACTTAGACATATGAGCCTGTAACAGGACCCTGTTCCTTAACTTTCCAAATTAACCCCCTGCATTGGGAACTATTGTAATCATTTGGGCGGGGGGGTGATAAGAAGGACATGTTAGAAATGCAGGCAGTGTTTCAGTGTACTTCAAAAGGGAAAGGACGAAAATTAATATCAATCAGTGTTTTCCTGCAGGAGTCAGATGATTCCATAGGCGTCCAAGAGGTGTCCCAAAGGTCTAGTTGAACAGGAAGGCTCAAATTTGCTGTTGCAAAGTCAGCAA